AAATTGAGTGTGTTACTGTCAATCTTAAAACAGCCACTAAAATAAGAATAATAAAAAAGTTATAGCCAATAAGCCAACAAAGGAGATATGCTGGAATAATAATAATATAATAATAATAATAATAAAAGTCAATTGATCCAAAAGGAAGAAAAAATGGAACAAAGAACAGATGGGAATTTATAAAACAATTAGTAGGATGGTAGGTTAGGGCTCTTGGGTGGCTCAGCCAGTTAAGCGTCCTACTTCGACTCATGATCTCACAGTTCATGAGTTTGAGCCCCGCGTCAGGCTTGCTACTGTCAGTGCAGAACCTGCTTGAGATCCTCTGTCCCCCTCTCTCTTCCCCTCCCCCGATCACTCTCTCTCAAAATAAATAAGTAAACTTATTTATTACTGGGTTCTTTAAAACATATTTTTAAAAAAGACGATACATTTAAACCTTAGCACATCAATAAGTACACCAAATGTAAACGGTCTAAATACCCAACTAAGAGTCAAAGTAGGTAGAGGCGCCAGAACCACTGCAAGCAGCCTACACAAAGCACTTTTTTAAAAGTTTATTGGGGCGCCTGGGTGGCGCAGTCGGTTGAGCGTCCGACTTCAGCCAGGTCACGATCTTGCGGTCCGTGAGTTCGAGCCCCGCGTCGGGCTCTGGGCTGATGGCTCAGAGCCTGGAGCCTGTTTCCGATTCTGTGTCTCCCTCTCTCTCTGCCCCTCCCCCGTTCATGCTCTGTCTCTCTCTGTCCCAAAAATAAATAAACGTTGAAAAAAAAAATTAAAAAAAAAATAAAAAAATAAAAGTTTATTTATTGATTCTGAGACAGAGATAGAGAGAGCAAGTGGGGGAGGGGCATAGAGGGAGAGAGAGAATCCCAAGCAGGCTCCGTGCCGTCCGTGCAGAGTGGGATGCAAGACTTGAACCCATGAACTGTAAGATCATGCCCCGAGCCGAAATCAAGAGTTGGACACCTAAACGACCGAGCCACCCAGGCGCCCCCAGAAAGCACTTTTTGAAGACAAAGACACAACTATGTTAAAAGTAAAAGCATAGAAAAGATATAGCATGCTAACACTGGTCAAAAGAAAGCTGGAGTCTTTATACTAATATTAGACAAAGTTGACCTCAGAGCCAAAAAATTACAAAAATGAAGATCACATCATATTGATAAAGTAATCAATCTGTTAAGAGGACATAACCATCTTAAACATTTGTGAAATGAACAAGACAGCTTCAAGATAATGTTAAGTAAAAACTGGTAGAACCACAAAGAGAAATCGAACCCACAATTATTGTTGAAGATTTCAATACTCCTCTCTCAATAACTGATCAAACAAGTAGGCAGAAAATCAGCATGGGTACAGTCGATAGGTGTGTTTCATCCAAATTGACCCAAATGACATTTATTGACCACTGTGCTCAGCAACAGAAAAATTCATGTTCTTTTCAAGGCGACAGAAGATTGACCAAGGCAGACAATATTTGGGGACATAACATGAGTTTCCATACATGTAAAAGGACTCATGTTAAAGTGTGTCTTCTGACCACAATGGAAGTAAACTGAAAATGAATATAGAAATATCCCTGGAAAATCCCCAAATACTTGAGAACTGAATAAGACACTTCTAAGTGACCCTGAGTCAAAGAAGAAATCAAAAGGGAAATTAGTATTCCAAACTGAGTGAGAATGAAAACAGCATAACTGGGGTGCCACTAAAGCAGTACTCGGGGGAAAATTCATAGCACTGGATGCTGTACGAGAAAAGAAGAAAGGTGGGGCACCCGGGTGACTTAGTTGGTTAAGCGTCTCACTCTTGATTTTGGCTCAGGTCATGATCTCACGGTTCAGTTCATGAGTTCAAGCCCCGAGTTGTGCTCTGTGCTGACAATGCGGAGCCTGCTTGGGATCCTCTTTCTCTCTCACTTTCTCTTTCTGTCCCTCCTCTGCTCATGCCCTCTCTTTCAAAAATAAACTTCAAAAAAGAAGAAGAAAGGTTAGAAAATCTATGACTCAGTTTCCACATTAAGTAACCGAAAAAAAGAAGAGCAAACAACTCAAACCAAGTAGAAGAAAGGAAGCAATAAAGATCACAGTGGAAATCAGCGAGAAACAGCAGGTGATGAATCTGAGAGCTGGTCGCTTGAGATCAACAGCATTGTTAACCCCAGGCTGCCCACAGAGCTGGTGGCCACGACACCTCCAGGGTTCCGTTCACGTCCACGCCACCGTCCTTCTCTGTTTGGCCTGGCCTGGAGCAGGTGCCCCACTGCCCATGTGCTGGAAGCCCTGGGTCTAATCACTTTCCCCTCTGGGGCCCCGCGGCTGAGTGGAGCCATGTCCGGAGTGGCAGCTTGGCTCCCCTGGTTTCTAAAACCATCCCACACTCATCCTTGTCTTTGCCTGAGCGGATTTTTCCCCTCTCCACTGCCCTTTTCTCAAGGATCGCCAAAGAAAGATTGTTAATCCTCAAAATGAAACAAATATCTACAATTCAGTCATCCTGAACAGCATCCTGTCAATATCCACAAGCCTCATGTGATTCCCACAGGCCCCTGTGCTCTCGGCCCGAAGCTGGGGCTATGCAGCTCTTTCCACAGCAGGGGGAGGGTTGCGAGGGAAAGCGGGGGTGCGGGGGTGGGTTCTCTGCACAGGGGCAGCTTCGGCTGGCTGACTGCCCTGTGCCCCAGCAAGGCCCCCCGACCCACCCAGTCTCTGCAATTGGACCCCCAGGAGACAGTGCCCCACCCCCGCTGGACACAGGCAACGGCCCATTGGCCGCTTCTCGGCGCTGAGCCCTGCCAGGCAGGAGGCTGAGGAGCGGGGTGGTCTCCTAAAGCACAGATGCCAGCTGGAGAGGCAGGGCAGGGCCACAGATAAGGAGGTGGCCAGGGGTCAGGCTCAGGTCACCGTGCGGTGAAGGAAGGAGTAAGGGTATGAGGAGAGAAGCAGGGATTCAAGCCGCAGGCCCTCATCCACCTAGAAGGTCAGTGTGTGTTTCCGTCTGCTTCTTCATCCAGGCTGGGCCAAGGCTGGCCGTGTGCAGTCTGACGGTGGTCTGACCCCCGGAGGGGTCCCACCTCCACGGACATCCAGGGCCCACGAGGCATCCCTCCCTGGACCTGCCACACTCCCCCTCCTCCCTGCCTGACCGTGGTGACCACCATGTATGTGACAAGGAGCCGCGGCCAGGCCCCTGGCCCTGCAGAGATCCGCTCTTTCGTGGCCCAGGCATCCGAGTTTAGGGGACAGTGTCCCAGCAAGCAGGGACCCTGGCTGAGCATCTGTGGTAGCATTTCCCACTCCTGGAAGGACTGCCTAGCATTCCGGGGAGTCTCGGGCCAGGGTCTGGGCCACTGAGGCCCTGAGAGGGACAGGAGCAAGGCCTGCAGAGAAACGGGGAGCAGGGGGAGGTACACTGTGCACTTGGCCTGAGTCCTGCCCTTGTGCCCGGGACCCGTGTGTGCAATGGGTCACGCCCGTTCATCAGGTCAGCCAGTGCCAGGCCCTGGCCCAGGGTGACGAGACAGCCAGAGCCAGAGATAGACAGAGAGACAGAGACAACAGAAAGACAGGAAGAGACAGAAAGTACACAGAGGCAGCATGTGGGGCTGACAGAACTGAGAGGGAGCCCCACTCCACTCCTCTGGGAAGCCCCGGAAGGGAGCCGAATCTGTCCTCAGAAACTCTGCCCCACCTGGCCCTGGCGTCCAGAGCCTCAGGCCCAGGACAGTTGGGTCTCGGGCTCACAGCGAGCAGCTGCGAGTGGGTGGACAGTAGCAGGTGCGCCTGGTTCTTACGAAGGCACAGAACCACCTGTCACCTGCCTTCTATCACCAAGTTTGGTCAGTCAGCGCCCCGGGCTCAGTGTAGCAGAGCAGTGGCCCCTGAGGGCACGTCCCACCTAAGGGGGTGTGGAGATGGGGCCGGGTGGGCAGAGCTAGGGAGGCCGGGAGGAAGGCTCCAGGATGCGTCAGGGAGGCCTGGACCCTGGGAGAGGTGGCGCCAGAGGAAGCGTCCCCACATGCCACGGGGCTCTGCTGCCGCCTGTGACCCGTGGCTGAGCTGTGGAGGAGAAGCTGGGGGCAGCGCCGGGCCTGCCCCCCCTGCTCGCGGCTGTGGAGGGAGAGCATGGACCTCGCAGTCACACGGGGCCGGTTCCGTTCTGCCCGGCCCCCAGCATGGCACCTGTCTCTCTCTTTCGGTTTCCTCTCCCACAAAAGGCAGGGTGATGACAGGTGCCTTAGAAGACAGGTTGGACTCCGACTACAGCTGTGACAGGTGACCACAAAAGGGGTGGCGTAAAACAGCGCTAACAGGAGTGCAGATGGTTCCCTGGGGCTAGAGTGAAGGGGGCGCTGGCTGCCGGAGCCCGCCCCTGGCTTCTAGAAGCTGCCCACAAGGCCAGCGGCGTCTGGCTGCATCCTTCTCACAGTGCTTGTCTCTGGCTCTCCCTTTCCCCTTCAAGGACGCTCAGGGTGAGGCTGGGTCTGCTTGCACGAGGCAGGATGGTCTCTGCATCTCCAGGTCAGGTGACTAACGATCTTAACGCCGCCTCTGCCCAGGGCCCTGCTGCGCTGCCCAGAGCTGGGGCTGCGATGTCCCTGGAGGGGCCGTTCTCTACTGCCCTGGACAAAGCTATGGGAGCCGGGGGCTCTGGACAGAGGGCTCGCTCAACCAGGATGGGCTTCTCCTCTGACGATCCCCCTCCGGAACACTCCCCTGAGTGACGTGATACCAGAGCGTCTCCAGGTGGACCTCGTGTCCCAGCTGCCCCCTTCTCGTGCCACTGCCGCTGGAGCTCACGCCAGTCGGTCTCCCTCTGGCCAGAGTTGTGGGGAAAGTGCCACCGGCGTCTGGAGCAATTTCCTAACAAGTCGAGAAGGAAAAAGTCAAACTCCCAACACACGTGCCTTTGGGGAGGGGGTGTCCGGGCCCTTCAGGGTGGATGGGAGGCTGTCTGCCATACTGCTGGCGACAGCGACATAAGAGGGTGACGAACAAATGGTGGTTTCCAACAGGCTTTTCCCGGAAGATGACACTGTGTGGGAAGTGCGGCCTTTGGAAGAGGCCCGGCAGCAGGTGGCCCGTCCTTTGAGCAATGGTCCCATTGTGTGCCACCTGATTACCACCAGCTGCTATACAAGGGAAAGTCCACTGGGGGTTTTCATCAAGGACTGGATGCGCATCACCGATATCCGAGAGGGGAAGATGACTTTCTTCAGAAGAGTGACGTCACGGGCTTTCCCTGACCTCGCGCCCGTAGTGGCCAACACTTCCCTCCGCCAACTTTTGTGAGCAGCATTTCTGCTTCAGTCCGGTGCGGTTCCGAACTTGGCCATATAAACCCTACAGAATGAGTCCCTTCTCAAAAGCCATCTCATTACACTGATTCCCCCACGGGCGCTCCTAGCGGGGCCTCCCAACCTCCGGCTCTGTGATTGCCACTCACTTCTGCGAACTAAGGACGTGCTCATTGCCCCCGAAGTCAGCACCAAAAGGAGGTGGCCTTTGCCTGAGCTTCTGTCCCTCGCGGCTCAGAGTGGGAGCAGATCACAGCGGGAGACAGCGCCACTCAAGCTGGGAAGAGGTCTGTCCAAGTGCGGGCTGAGGTGGACGGTCTGTGGGGTTTTGCCACCCTCTCAGGGGCACGCCTGCGATGGGGGCGGGGCAGTGGCTTCAAGAAGGGCCTGCGGCCAGAGGCTGTTCCCGGCCTCCCGTTCACACAACACGGCTGGCTGGCCTGCTCCTGGGCTGCCGGGAAGCCAAGTGACCACAGTCAACTTCAGCCCTCCTGGTGGCCAAGGACAGCGTCCAGTCTTTCTTGACACATGAGACATGGGTTTCTACGTCCAGAGCCATTACACTGACAGAAACGGGGTCCCCTGTCGGTCCACCACCCCCTGTCCTACTGGCCAGGCCCCAGGGGTGCGGAGGGTACTGTGCTGCGTCGGAGACCTGTTTGTGCGGAGTGTTGGGGTCTGGATTTTCACGTCCGATCCTGGACACTCCCCCCCCCCCCCAGCCTCCAAATCTTCCCTCCCTTCTCTGCCACCTTGCTGGAGCCCATGCCCGGCAAGGGCCCGGTCAGCACCGGCCCGGCCTTGCCCTGCCAGGGGGGACAAACGCCAATTTGGACACCACAGGGAAGGGCAAGACTTTCTTGGAGGCTGGCCCCGAGACCCCATCCTTCTGCCCCGGCCAGCCGAACCACAGCACAGACTCCCGCTTCACCCCCCCAGATGCCACCTTCAGAGTGTCCTGGGCAGACATGGGGCAGGCTAGGGCGGCTGGCTGTCATCCTTATTAAAATTCTTCTTCAAACACTCCTGGGACTGGCCTGCTGGAGATAAACTACCCTGAGAGAGTTCTTCACAGAAAGTGCTTTAATGATGCAATTATCCTCATTCAACTCGGAACGTCTTTATTACGTTAGAAAGGGGCAATCCGTCTTGGTTTATAGAGGGCGCTGGCCTGGCCCAAGACACCAGACCTGGCCCTGGAGCCTGGTGTGAGAGCCCTTTCAGCCCCGCTTCTAAATGTGCATGGAGAAAACACTTTTTAATTGAGTTTCTCTGGCTGAGCCAGACAGTTAACTGTCCCCCAAAGCTGGATCTCATTAAAGCAACTTTGGTTTTTCAAAACTAAAAATATGCTGATTCACACTGCTGTTTCTGTGCTCTGGGATGTTAACCAGACAAGAAGTCGGTACAGGCCAACGCATCTCATGATCTGTTCCAAAACTTCAGGGAGACACTGCAGACGGAGGGTTCAGTGTTATGGCACAGAAGGCTTTTCAACCAGATTTGGTCCAGTTTGGGAAAAAGAATCTGAATAAGCACAGGTCTCTGTTGGGCCTCTGCTCCCACTTCTCCGAGCTGCGCAGGGGGAGGGGGGAATCCTATCTCCCCAGGAGCATCCCCCCCCCCCAGGAAGCCCAACCCACCGAGGCCCCTCCCGGCT